CTGCCGTGTATAGAATATTTTTAATATTAGATATAATAATAATAGCTATATATCAATCCCAAACAAATGAAACATTCCTATGTCATTACATGAATTTGATATCGGCCTTTTGGATTTAAGTAGCAAGCATCAAGTAATATAAAGATTAATTGTTACACTACGTACCATAATATACATAGTTTAATTTACTACAGTACATTATCTTTTTAATTAGGTTGTCAATTATTTTTCACTGTTGTTGGTCAATCAATGTATATAACAAACAGAATATACAAATAAAAAGATGCTTGGTTGTATGTGGAAGCATCAGTGATGTGTGCTAATTTTGTCCCCATGACTTTGGAGTAACTCCCCCAAACAACTTCCCAATAAAATGGAGGTTTAGGGTGGAGCCGGCTTACGGTCAGAGGTCCTTATGTATAGTTAAAATATAGTTATATATAGTTGATATCCAACTCTGTACGATTAATTTGTATGTTTACTTAGCTTCTTCAAATTTTAAATATTTTTAATAAAAATTCTGACTCCGCCTAATTTTATAGAGACAATATCTCGTTATTTTATGAGACAGTCTTGTATCGATACATCCTAAGATTCCTCCAGTCCTATGATTAATCGGTCATCAAGTGTGTACTTGTTCTGTGTTTTTTGTTTCTCCCACTTGTTCCTCATTTAGATCTGTTTTTTTAATTTTTGAAATTACCGAATAATCCGTCGTCGCTACAATTATGTCCCGAGGGTGAGCATTCATTTACATATGTTGTTACTATCGTTTTATGTCCCTAAAAGCGGCCCTGCCCTACGTTCTATCTTATATTGGCCATCTGGGAAATTATGGGTATACATAAAAAATTATAAATACAAGGTATATAATCTATTAAGTAATTTATATTTATTTGATGTTTTTCTGAAAATTGAGCATTATTTAAAAACCAAGTACTCTTTTTTTAATACTAAAGGTTTAGGTGGAATAATTGCTAAGTTTAACATTAATTTTTGAAGTGATATTTATTTTGGTTCAAGTTTTTTGAGCGGCTACAATTAAAATGGGACGACAGGAGTTGTTTACGTACCCTTAAATTGGTATAATTAATTTTATATACATGATTTAAAACACACTCAAATTAAAATGACCAAATAAAGAATCGCAGAAGACTAATTAATATGCTTAAAAAATTATGCCACATAATATAGTAAAGATGTTAAAATAAATATTAAAGAATCAAGCAATAGTATCGAGATAAAAATAAAAATAAAGTCCTGATTTCTAACGTTGATAGTTGGAAACCTCATCGAAAAAGGTTTGAGATTGTTGTATATATGTTGTAGCTATGGAGTTTTAAGTGTTACAAAGTATGAGTATAATGTTGGATTGTCTGTTTGTGTGTTCTTCCAAAATCAGCTGATGTTTTAATAAGAAGATAAGACATTATTTATAGTTAAATTTCAAAGGAATACTATCTGTAAATTCCGTCCTCATAAAGTCTATTAAATGTATATTACTTCAACTACATATAATATATAACAACGGACAGAAATCTCAAACTATTTCTCAATGGTTCGACCCTTATCGATCATGACCAGAGGCGAATCTAGGATTTTTTTGAATATGGGTGCACCAAGAAAAATGTATTAAGTGGGAATTGATCCTCAGTCCTCAAAGTCAAAAGCTCAACATTTAACCATGTGGACCAACTAGATTTTTTATAGTATGGATACAAGAATATAATATTATACAAATGTTAGAAAATATATACATAAAATATCTAATTTTACGAAGAGACCACGGGTTCGGACGCCCTATTTTTTGCACTTAAATTCGCCACTGATCATGACCTAGTTAGTACCTGTAGATCAATGTCTGCTCATCGATGTGATATTGAATAACTCTAAATCTTGTGTACAAGATCGATCACCCTTGTTCCAAGAATAATAAAGTCATGCTAATTGATGCATCTTTAATTTTTTGTCCACATGTTGCCTTCTGATTCATCCACGCATTACGTATTCATTTTTTTACCCATATATATAGATAGATACAGAAGTAATATCTGAATCTTTAATTTTAAAAATGAAAAAAATTGGGGAGATAGTGTTCTCTTCGTGACGCATTAAACGAGCGGTTGTTGATGGAACGCGTCGTGTGGTGGGAAATTATAATTCATTAACAAACTAACTGCTCTCTTAATTAAGTCAAATCAATATAATCATAAGCGAATAACTAACTTGCATGCATGTATTGCATCAACTCAACATTATATTCTCTTCATAGTTTTTCTTTGCTTGATTCCTTAATATGATTTTGATAATTATTATTTTTAAAATACAGATATTAATTACTATAATTCATTTTCGTTAAAATCAACCTTTGACGTCAAGAGTTTGATCTGAAATTCCGCTTTTTCTTTAGTTGGACCAGCTAACATGTACAATGTTCAAAATTGACTGCTCTTACTATTTATACTTTTTCTCGGTAATCATACCCAACTGGATGAATCGGACGGATTGCCTACGGGCTACGAGAGGAGCCAAATTCAAATATAGCACTCATTATTTACGTCAAGCCAATAAAATTAATTCTTAATTTTGATTGTTTAATAGTGTTTATATAATTATTTAATAATAAAGACAGTAGTGGAAAAAATTACTTTTGATTTGTTAAAGTGAATCAATAAAAGGGAGATTTTATTTTTGTATAAGGTCCCAGTAAAACAAGACTGAGGAAATATGTATGTGTTTGTATATAATTAACATTATTAATCAACATACATTTCACCTCATAAATCAATTAACTAAAATAAGCTCAACTTATACAGAATTTTGTACGTAGTTTACCAAAAAAAGAGGGAAGATTAGTAAGTACAGCTCATCTCTTAATAAAATGTCTGGATTTTGAGTTCTAAAAATAAAGTCATAGCTAGTGAATCTTTACTCCTATGGAATTTCCTAGCGTGCATCAAACTAATTGGACTTTAAAGCATCTATTAAGACATCAGATAAAAGCACCAAAACATAAAATAAAATCAGTTAAGTCAGACTTTCAGCTGTTTGTTTTTATCTACATCAGCGGCAAATCCCCTTTTGTTGCACGCAACATAGCATAAAATTAATTCTTTTTGAAATTATCATAATTAGTTTTTGGGTTCAAAATTAATACTAATATTTACGGGTGATTACACATTTACACTATTAATCCACTTAAAAGCCAACTAAAAATTAATTCTCTATAGCAAATATGCCTCGGTTATAAATATTAAAACAAGTTGCTTGATTTAAGCCTATAACCTATTAATCTTCATTGATAATGTAAAATCTTATTTTTAAATTTTGGATCAAATTAATTATATCATCCCATGTGGTTTCCCCATTTATGGTTAGTAGATGGATTACATCATCCCATTAAATTAGGCAATTATTATTAAGTGAAAAATAAAATCTACACTAAAAGATTCTTTAGTTACGTTGTCTAGTTCTTGTTTGAACTTTGAAGTAGCATCTTGTCATTATGCCATATAAGAATACCACATACTCATTAACAATCAATGTAGGAATTTTTCATACTTCAACAATTTAATTCGAGATCTAATGAGATGACCCATGATCGGATATTAGGTAAAGAAATGTATTTTGAACCTAACTTAACCCCAAAAATTAATTTACGAGAGGAGAATTGTCAAGTCTATATAAAGAAATCACCCATCTTAATTAGTAATTATTGGTGTGAGACTTTTTCATTTTTTCAAACACACATGTCAAATTTGGATTTGTTGGTTTTTGATGGTCAAGAGAAAGAGTTGAAAGTTAATAAAATATTTAAGGAACAATTATTAAGTCGTAACTAACGAAAGCACTAAACATAATAATTGCAATGATAATATGGTGTATCTTCTGTATCTTTACCTTTAGTTGTAGTACTTTGAATAGATGGACAAATTAAAAGGAGTTGGCCACAACGACAAAACAAGCCAGCTTTTAAGGGACCATTTAAGGGAATCTCATCCATTTGAGTATTATAATTCAACCAGCCATCTTAGTTTCACAAAATGTTAATTCAGAATGACTTATAAGCTTAATTAGACAATTCTTAATAATTATCTAGCTTTCCCCAAGGTCGTATTATCATACAAAAAGATTGTTATGCGATAAATAATTGATACATCTATCGATATAGCTTCTTTATGTCATATGGCATAATTTAAAGTCATCATTTTGTCTTTAGATAGCCCACATATTTGTTTGATCGATGATACACATATTTTTATCGCACATTCTATACAAGTTTTATTAAAATTAGTAATACAACATTTGGACATTCGGTTAGTCTTTCCTGTCTCTTTCAGAGTGCATGACATGAATAGCTTTCTAAGTTCTAATTAACATCAACATGTACTAGAGAGCTGAAGTAGTCGTCGTTTTTTCCCCACAATAGTCATCCAACAAAAAATTAGCAAAACACCACTAAGCGCTAGCTCACGTGGAATAAGAAAAAGAGCGTTGAGCACAATTTTTGCATCACCAGAAATTCCTTTTTACTTATTTTCATTTCGATATTAATTAAACTTTCGTTAGTATGCAAAAACGAAATACTATCGTAGTATTAATTATGCAAGATTAAATTTTCTTATACTTTGAACCAAACCACACTAGAGTTTTAAAGGAAAAAGCACAAAGAGAGGATGACTTTTATCAAATTTTAAAATATAATACTAGTTATATGATTAGCTAAGAAGAACAAAGTTTGATTGGGATGGTGGGTTCCCACTTTTTATTAATATATGTAACACATATTCCATGCGCATCACCTTTACAAATTTTTTTCTCTATTCAATCATGCATTTCCCTTGTTAAGCAGCACATCTTTTTTGTTATATGTCCCTTTGCTGATCTGTACGCATCTTTTCTTTGCTTCGAATATAAACTTCTTTTTCCTTAGAGAAATGATTGCCGAGTAATAATTAGTACTAACTACTTATATATGTGGCCTTCTTCCTCTCTTTACTAGTTTTAGTTAGCTTCTCCAATTGTGTAATAAACTTAAAGAGTTAAAAAAAAATATGGGAAGACAACCTTGTTGTGATAGAGTTGGATTGAAGAGAGGTCCATGGACTATAGAAGAAGATCATAAGCTTGTCCATTTTATTCTCAATAACGGCATTCAGTGTTGGCGAACCGTTCCCAAGCTCGCAGGTACTCTATTCTAGTTGTTTTTGTTCTTTTTCATGTGCCGGCCTGATTCTTTTTCTTGGGTCAATTGATAATATGGTAGTGGTGATACTCGAAACCAACATGTCTATTTGTGTGATCGTTTTATCTAAATGCTTAATTTGTTGTAAGAGAGAGTACAATTTTATATGACTATAATAGGGGCCCCTAGACAAAAGATGATCATTGTGAATGTGTGGTGTAGGCTTGCAAAGATGCGGGAAAAGTTGTAGACTGAGATGGATTAATTATCTAAGACCTGATTTGAAAAGGGGCGCGCTATCTGAAGCTGAAGAGGATCAGATTATAGAGCTTCATGCTCGTCTTGGTAACAGGTATTGTAATTTGTTTAACCATCACTGACTTGATTAATTCTGATACTGTTGTATGCAATTGATTTTTTACAGGTGGTCTAAGATAGCATCGTATTTTCCAGGGAGGACAGATAACGAGATCAAAAACCATTGGAACACTCGGATTAAGAAGAGATTACATCTTATGGGAATAGACCCTTTAACTCACCAACCAATTGACAAGGAAAAATACCAACATGAATCAGATGATAAAACAGAGTTGTTGTCAACAATAACAGAGACATATGACAAAAGAAATGAAACAGAGAACTTCATTGAAAATGCTAATGATATTTCACTACCAAACAATATGTTGAGTGAAAATATTAATGAGGAGTTATGGAACAAAAGTTTTAAAACTATGTCGACTTGTTACAGTCCTTCAATTTCTTTGGAAGCTGAAGAATCTATCAATTTCTCAACAACATCAAGTAATGTAGCTGCTGCACCCGCAGAAGAAGAAGATTCTGTACAACAATGGATGGATTCGATTTTCTCATGTGCGATCAATCAGCTAGAAGAGGACCTGTTCCTCTTGAGAAAGTACAACTAATAATTGCGCAACTTTTCTTTTTTCCCTCCCTCTTCTTTGTTTTCTTATTTATAGAATTCTTCTTCAAAAGGAAAAACAAGTACAGGGAGACGAGTTTCCTCTTCGTTACTTTGGCTGTAATTTATTTTTCTTTGTGCTATAGTTTAGTGAAATTTTAATCGTAAGGTCTATAAATTTATTGGCGATGCTTGCTCTAACCGAATGTGTAACATAGTTAAGTCGCTTCTATTAATCGTTCAGGGACGGCATTTGAACTCAATATTCTTGATGTGAAATATGGATTTATATATGAAAATCTTATAGGCTAACTTTATTAAATTTAAATTTTAAATCAACAAATGATCTCATAGTAAATTAATTATTTTATTTTGAGATATGAAAACTTGAATAGAGTTCTACTGATTTTGTATTGTGTATTTTTACCTAATAAGCTCTTCATATAGACCCAAAGTATGAATCACAATATATTTGTAATTGCTATTTTACTATTATCGTTGTTGTTGCATATTGTTGCTGCTACCGCAGATACTACTATGTTTACACATCATTAACTTATGGAAATCAATATTTTCTAATACATAACAGTGTAGTGTTTGCTATACACCAAATAATTTAAGTGATTATCATGCCTAAAATTTCTTTTTATTTCTCATTTACCTATGAACAGTCGAAAGTATGCACACAAAACAATGTAACCTAATTCAGTAAGTAAAAGCTAAAATCACAAAAATAACTGCAACAACAATAGTTGAAGGAAGGATATAACAGAAAATGTAGAAAACAAGTTTCAAGAAGCTACAAAAATAAAAATTATAAAAAGATGAATAAAACTCTTTATATAATGGAAAAGGAAGTACTTGTAATTATTAAATTCTCAAAAGAAAAAGAACTCCCGATATTTTTTCTTCTAAAAAGTTGAGTTAAAAAAAAAAAGATCATTAAAGGCCAGCAGATCCTTTAAAAACTATTTTTAAAAGTGTACAAATATATCTCTGAATTTTTTTGCTTTTCGAACAACTTAAAATTGTGTTTAATATTTGCTCAAATTCACACATAAAATATTAGACTGTCAGATAATCATCATTTAAAAAGATTAATGACTTATTAGGAAAACAAAAAATAGGCACAAATGGGACGATCGGATAAAGTTACACTTTAAAAGCCCTAAAGAGTAGTGGGTCCAGAATTAACAGCCCATCATTGGCAGCCGTGACCCGACCCAATTTGTTGATGTTCGGATCCTCCTCTCAGAGATAGTAGGGAGAAGAAATGAATGTAATCCGGAGAGGTGTTCGAAGCATACACACCGCAGTAGACTCTCCACGCCTCACCAGATTTGCTCTTCAACCTCCTAAATTTGTAAGTGGATTGTTTTTCTTGAAAATTTTCGTTACTTAATATCTAGGTTTACCCATGATGTTGTATGCTTCAAGTTCCTATTTTTGCCTGTAATGTTCTCATTCTGCGGAGTCCTGAATTTATGTATGTTTGTCTTGTAATTATTCAGCACATAACAATATTTAGGAAATCTTTTAAAATAAAGTTTTAGCTTAATCCATGATGTTGGAGGCTTCAAATTTCGACCTTTACCTTCTCATAAAAAAAATTGTATTACAATAGCTTTCTTATTTCCTCTGACTTCTGCTCAACAAGAATTTCATATTGATTCCCATGGTTGCCAACAGTTTAAGAAGAATTGTTGTGGGGAACTGCATTTACTGAATTGGTATTAGCTCATAACCGAACAATCCAATGAATATTTTATTGAACCGTTTCAAAATGTTTATGCAAATGTTAGATTATTTTAACTTGTTGCAATGAATTTACATGTGAATAACTAAATTATTGCTTTCACTCATTCTGGTTCATGTTCAGTTGAGCAACTTCCTCTTCAATACTAGATGTGTTATTTACTATGTAGGGTTGATGGAAATTTATTTGACAATAAAACATGGATAATATTCCATGGTAAACATTCATCTTTCGGGCTTGTCTATGAAAATACTCCATGCTAGTCACTTCGATTGTTTTCTTTATTTTGAGAAGGAACTATTGAGTTGGTTTTGCTGCACCATCATTGATACATAAAGTTTCAAAGGATTGTGTTTGAGGCACCAAGTGAATGCGCACCCTGTTCTAGGGAACTATACAACCTGTACTCCTTTCTTTGATATGTCAATAATGATGTGCACACAGTAGCATTATAAGCTTTAGGTGGCAGTTAGGCAATTTAAATTCGTCTGGACATTTGAGGCCCTAATTGTGTATTCTGTTGAAGGATAAATATTATTGTTTCCTGTTTCAAGTGTGATGTGAATGCCACATTTTCTAAACTGCACACAAGATTCCTAACAATTTTTCACAAAGAAAATTATTTTGCTAGGGGAAGAATTAAACGAAACTCATGAAAATACTTTTGACAATTTGATTGTATTGAACGGAAAAAAGGTTTTAAAGAGCCCACATATAGTTGGAGAAAGGTGATGTTAGAGTGCTTCCTTTCCAAAAAAATTAAATCATGAATCTACTTATAGTCACGTCCCTTTAATGGATTTTGGAGACTGGTTTCATGTATCTCTGGTTGCATCAATCTGGATTCTGCAAAGTGCAAACTTGTTTACTATAGGCTTCCAGCATTGTGAGTTTGACTTGTCTTATCACTTTGTGAATCTTTTCAGGTGGAGGTTGAGTTTGAAAAAGGTAGTCTGTATAAGTTGTCAGCTGAGTATTTGAGAATATACAGCCCTGCTGTTGATAGTAAGATCAGATCGATTTGTGGTGAGAAGGTAACTAGAGGAACACTTTCAGTTTTCTTTTACTGGCAACAGAGTTCCATCATCAAACCGGATTTAATATTGCACTATTTTAATTTTTCCAATTCATGTGCTTGTGTGTTAAGGTCATAACTGGTAGGCGTCATGTCGGAATTATGTCTGCAGAACCTATTGGAAATTATGGAGTGAGGTAATAAGAGTAAACAAGTATTTGTGTCTTAACAATTTAGTCTCACTTTTTGTTATTTCTCATTCTCTTCATATGGTTCAACCTAGGTTATTATTTGATGACTTGCATAAGACTGGTATCTTTACATGGGACTACTTCTACCATCTTGGAAGTAACAAATTCACCCTCATGAGAAATTACGTCAGAACTCTGAAGAAACATGGACTAAGCCGGGATCCACCTAGACGAAGATGACCTTAAGACGTGGCCATGAGAAGGCTGATCCACACTATTTAAGCTGGAAAACATCCTCCCCATATGCTCAGAGTGAAATGGTGACATAAAATTGTACTGTTGCAAATATTTCAAAGACTAGCTCTTGATATGCTATCATATGTTCAGCGGAATTTGTGGTGTGCTATACTCTAGATCTAGAGATTGAACATGCGACACAAAAGAGTTCATTAGTTTCTAAGGAACATTAAGGAGGCTCTTTGTTTGTAATTTTGATTTGGGAAGCATGTTGGTGTTGCAGAACATGCTTGATTAAATGAAAGGAACAGTAAACGTGGCAAGTTCGTTTTTTCTTTCTTTTTTACTTTTGGCATCTTAGAATGTCTTCTTTAATCTGTATCAGAAAAAAGAGGAATCATGATAGAGATTGAACGTGGTTTTTTGGTACTCGTTCCTTCTATTTTGGAGTGAAAATTCCACAAAAATTATCCATATTCCAGTGATATTACTAAACAATTAGCACTAGGTAGTATTAACACTATTCGTATAGTTTCTTGTTCTTTGATCTCGGTTTACACTGGTTTTCTATGTGCTCTGGTTATTTGCATTATTTTGTTTTTGCTGTTGTTCCTTCTCTTGTTTGTCAGCGTTACACTCTCCCTTTCACATATATGCATCCCCTTTTCTACCTGTTTGGCAGTTTATTTAAGTTGATGGTCTACTGGAAATGCCTCTCTATCTCTAAGAAATAGGGGTAAGGTTTGGGTACACTCTACCCTCCCCAAACCCCACTTGTGAGATTACATAGAATGTATTGTATTACTAAACAATCTTTCTTTGTTGGTTTATCAATCTTATAACTCTGTTTGTGTTGGTTTGCTCTCATTGTTGATTGTCAGTCTCAAGCTCGGATAAAGGGAGGAAGATTGTAGTAGACTGACATTTTATGGTGAATCTTTTCGATACAAAATATGTTTGAAATCTACAAATGAGCGGTTTATTACCATCTTCTCGATTCAAATACGAGGATATGTTTGAACGTATGATAACATTATTAGCTGAAAAAGCCCTTTTCATGTACTGTCTCAATCGATAGCAGACGCATGATTTGTAAAGTAGGGTCGTATTTGAATTGAAAATGATCAGTCTATAATAAACTTTCGTATTTAATTTGTTGATTTTAATGATATTGTTTATTGATTTGTTATACAAAAATATTCATATAGTTACAATAGCATTTGTCAAAGCACATAATTAGAGTGTTGTTAGCTGATTAAGATATATATAGCTTCTTGGTATGGCTCTTCATGTGTGCTTATTTCCTAAAGTGAAACAGCTACTTCAGTTTTACTTGAAAAAATTGATGTTTTAACAACTAGTAGTTCAACAATCTGTAGCATCTTACATTGCAACAATCTGTTGCTTCAAACAAACATGTATTTCTCCTAAAAATGAAAACGATACAGCAATGACATCTCTAAAATTATAATCAAGATTGTGAATAATAACTTTGTAATTTTGTAGAATCAGATCACATTATTATGAGTTAAATTTTCGTGGAAGACTGGAATTACTGCTCTTTAATTAGTAGGACGTCAAATTCATTTCATTATTTATTTATTTTCTATAATAAAAAAAATGTGGTCCCACCATATGGTATGGTCTACAAATTAAGCAAAATATACGTAGGATATACCAAACTTTGACTTCTCAAAATTTGTAATTCATCCGTTTGATTTCACGCAACACCTTTTGTATTATTTTAGTATGTTTTGAGAAAAAATAAATTAATTTTGTATCCAAATATTTTTTCTCTTAACTAACAAAACTTGTTACAACCACATTCAATACAGAAAAAAAAATCATTAGGAGAAATGTGGAACTTTTGATATTTCGATAAATATTTAAATAGGTTAAGCAATACGAATATTAAAATTCGAACGTTACTAGGGTTAAGTTCAAATAATGTGGGCCCATTCTGGAGATGAAAAAGACAACGTTTCACTTGGCCGAAGTCTAAAGAAACTTCAGAAATCGAAGCACTTGGCCTAAATTTAAAAAAATGACACCTTTAGCTTCTTCTTACTCTATGAGTGGCCTTTCTTCAAACAACGTGTATCGCTTTTTTTACATTTGAATTTCAAATTTAAATGCTGAGATCCAAAAACAGAGAGACAGATAAGAGAGATTACATGCCATAAAAAATCATTTTAAGTAACGGCACAATAATTATTCTGTTGATTTTTTCAGGTTCCATTCTTGTTATTTTCTAGCCACACTGATGATGGAAGACTCAGCTTGTCTTATACATGCTTTCTCTTATGCTTCTGCTATACCCAATGAAATAAAACAGGTATAAATAAAAACTCCACTGTTTTATTTTTCAAGATTCTTCTCCTTTCTTGCTGATTTTTTGGGATGGAATTGAGTATACAGGGGAACCCTGTGCATGCACTTGGGGAGTCAATTTCTTTTGGGAGATTTGTGTCTGAGTCATTGGATTGGGAAAAATGGTCAACTTTTTCTCATAAAAGATATGTAGAGGAGGCTGAGAGGTATGCTAAGCCAGGTTCTGTTGCCCAGAAAAAAGCTTTCTTTGAAGCCCATTACAAGAAAATTGCTGCCCAAAAGGCTGCAGCTTTGCTTGAACAAGCCAATCAAGAAAACCCCAATTCTGAAATCACCAAGAATTCAGCCCCTGATTCTACTTCACTTGTAAAACCCCGTGTAGAAGCTAATCAAGAAGAGGTTCATGAGAACCCTGATGCTGTAACAACAGATTCCATGGTTAAGGATGCAGTTTCAGTTGCTGAAGGAGTTGCTGATGCGGAGGAGAGAGAGAGTGAGTCCCCAGTGGAGGGTCCTGGTACTCCTGAAGCTACAGAGAAAGAACCATCAAACCAAATTGAGAATGGTGAAACCCAAGAAACAGTTTCAGGTTCTGAGATTAGTGAAACATCTCATACTGAGAAGCCTTTGCTGAAGATTAAGGTAAATATGTGTTCTTTACACTACTTTGGCCTAAATTTTAACTTCTTTAATCATACCAATAGTTTAAGAAACTCTGGCGTTATGAAAGTATATTAGTCTTTATGAGATGATTTATATAGATGACCCCAATTAGTTTGTGATGAAGGCCTAATTGATTGATTGAATCATATAAACAACAACATATCCAGTGTAATCCATAAAGTGGGGTTTGGGGAGGTCCCCTACCTCAGAGGTTGAGATGTTGTTTCCTATAAACAGACCAAGGCAGTCCATTGTATTGATTGATCCATATACTAATCTCTAATGCTATATGGAACTGATTTATCCCATTTGATTCAGCAGAGCTCCAGCTCTAAACTTGAGGATGATGCTGCATCGGTGACAAGCAAGAAAAAATCTGCTTTTTCTTCATTCAAATCAGCAGTCTACTCCAAAAAATCAAAATTTCCATTTTCGCCTTCTAGGCATATCATTCCTCTTGATGTCGATAAAGAGAACAATTTTACACCAATCACAACAAATTCTAACTTGGACTTGATGAATGAAGTGAGATCAACCCCAAAATCTTTGAGCAAGTTGATCAACTTTACTCCTGCCAAAGAGGCACACAAGATACCTCCTCCACCTCCCTTCCTCAAGAAGGAAAGTTCAAAGGTTGCTCCCACTACTAGCAAGGCATCTAAGCAGTGTGCAACTCCTCTTAAGACTCCTATGGTAACTTTCCTCCCCTTGTTTGAACTCCTTTTTCTAAATGCTAATACTTGTAATAGTCTTTCTTGGTGTGCCTAATGTTTGCTTCACTTTTCACCTGCAGGCAACATCAAATGGTGCATCAAACCGTCCCATGACAACACCATCTTCAGAAAGCAGAAGGTATATTTCCCTATATTGTCTAATTAGAACTGTTGGCAAGCATTTCATTGATTCCATTGACACATGGTTCTTTAGTTTTCCCACCTTTCCTGCTCCAATTCTTGTATCTTCCTATTTACAGGATTAAAACACCGATTCATCCCTCAGCTTCAGGAAGTAGAACAGCGGGGCCTAAATGGAACATTTTGTCTTCTGTGTAAGTGCCTATTACATGATGACCCTAGATTCAATAAGAGTAGCATAATCATTTGTGCATTTAAATGAATAGTAGTAGAACGTTTTTCGCTTTACGTGTAAAAACTGCTGGTTGAAGGTTCAAGCTAAGTGTAAGCAGGCTCTCGTAACTCAAAATAAGTATATTTTAGTGGATACAGTTTGAGCACTTCTCCAGGACCAGGAAACTTTTTAAAGAGAATCTGAGAGACAATTGTTTCTACTTGAATTTAGTTATCTTCCCACACACATAAGTATATTGGTGTGTGATGTGTCAAACTATCATGAACCAGGACAGTGATAATCTTCTTTCTGCAAGTATTTGGTTATAGAGTATATAATTGTGTCATTGGATATCGCTTACCTTTGGTGTTCCCTGTTCAGTTCCAAGTCTTTCACAGCCTACCGAAACAAATTACAATCACCAACTTTATCCACTCCTTTTTCTTTGAGGACAGAAGAAAGAGCTGCACGAAGGAAACAGGCAAGTGTATATATTAAATACTATGGACTATCTTCTTTGCATTATTAAAACTATTTTCACTCATATCTTGTACTTCTGCAAATACTTTCAGAAGCTTGAAGAAAAATTCAATGCCAAGGAGGAAAAGAAAGTTCAACAACAAACCACATTAAAGGTTCAATTCCTAATGCAAAACTCCGGCTTGTTGAATGTTTCTGTTTACCATGAATTCTGCACCACCTACTTTGAAAAGAAGGAAAACAAAGAAAAGTAGTGTGTGAACTTTGAGGTTTTTCCACCACTGAACATTAGGGTAGAAACAGTACATAGCAATATATGCTTTTGCTCTTTCCACTAGTAATCAATTCTTCTTTTTGTCCATATTTTTTTTTTCATATGATTTCTACTAATCACAAGGTAGCAGCTCTATATCATATTAAAAGATTTAAAAGTTTCTAACATGTGGTATTATGTAATATTTCCCTAAAATGTATGCAAATGCTTTGCACTATCTTCTGTAATATTATCCTAATATATATGCACATTTAGTATTCTTGGGCCTCTAGAGTAGTTTTCCTTACCATAATTTTTAGCATTTGAGTTGCATCTTAAATTGCAAATTCGTAACAACAAACTCTTACTTGCAGGAGAAAGCAGGAACGGAACTTAGGAAACTTGGACAAAGCTTTTGCTTCAAAGCTCGTCCCCTGCCTGATTTCTACAAGGAAACAGAAACAGCAAAAGATCATGCAAAAAAGGTACCACGACAATTGTATTATATCTTCATTATTCAGATATTCCTAAAAACTTCTTTGTCAAAATGCATCCTATCTTGTTCAATGTTGATTATGATCAACATTTTTCTTCTGCAAACAAAATCCTACTACAATATTTTATATATATATATATATATGTGTACCTTAGTGCTCCTATCTATGCTCTCCCTTCTCCTGCAGTGGTTCATATGGTAAATTTAATTTGGTGCAGATCCCAGTAACACAAGCTCAAGTGCCCCCCAAACGTGGAAGGATGCCATATCCCAGCAGCAAGCAAGGCTTAATCTCGAAGCCATTCTTCATCTTTGATGAAGAATGACTCTTGCAAGAATCCAAGAAAGAAGACTAGTTGAAAAAAACTAACAAATCTTCGCTCCTTGCAAAGAGTAGAGTGTCTTATTAGAATGTGTTTCAATTGGGCATTTCTTGCAATAGAATGTTTTGGAGGTGTATGAATGTGTCTTTCCTTAATATGATTTAAGAAGAAGCAACTCCAAAATCTTGTATAAAAGCTATCTAGAGGTAGAAATATTTAAACCTTGGAGTGACCACAATTATTACCATTTATAAAACGTGAAGTTGTTATTTCTACCAGCTTAGGTTATGTGTTTAATTTTCTCAGCTCATTTTGCAAAGCAACCTTTAAATATCTTGTCCTTATAAGAACATTCATTACCTTTGCAGCTAAAAAAAATTAACTGTAAAGCTCAATGATTTTTCCTCATCTTATGGAGCACTATAAGGAATCTTGTAATATTGAGAATTCTTATCGATAAACTGTAAGGTTTGGTCGTACTTTGGTTGCTTGTACAGCCACTAATTGAGGACAACACAGAAACGCAATGTGCAATCTGTGACAAAGCAATGAGTCGGTTGTGCGGTGCATCTTTTAGGATAACAATAAAAATGTTGTCGTCGACAATCATTTTCTTATACGACACTATCATCTTTAATTTGTTGACATAAAACAATTACAAAGATGCTTTATATATATAATTAAAATAAGAAAAAATAGTAAGCACCTCAAGCATCAAAATTGTAATTTTTTCAAACAGTAAGGGTGAATGCATGTGACAAAAAACTGCAAATTACCACACACACGAATGCCATCTGAATGTTGCAATTTATTTGACAGTAAATACAATTACAGAAATGTAACATTTTTTGTTCAGCAACAGGTTAATACAAATACAATTAGAAGGAACCAAATTATATTCCTTCCACAACACACCAATCTTCATCTTCTTCAACATTTTCCCACACAAATCCCACTTCACAGAAACTCATTTTTTCTTCATCAGTCTCCTCAATCTCAACGCCGATCGCCGGAGACCAATCGGAGTCAACTACCAATTCCTGATCTCCGTAACCTTCATCGGCGGCATCATAGTAAATATCATGATCATCATGATCCATGTAATAAGAACAATCGCTATCCAAATGATCCAAAATCCCAGTAGCTGAAAATCCAGAAAAATTCAACCCGGGCATAGCATCAACAACTCTCCAAGTAACCAACGAAACGACGTCGCCGCATCCCTTTATCTTTTGTGTGCCCTTAGTCTTGTCTTTGGATTTCCCAGCTGGATGAATATGGCAGCTGGTGCACCTAGGTCTACCGCACTTGCCGGTGAACTTGGAATGGTTACTGGGCTTAGTTGGGACCTTTGCGAAAAGCCCAGCGGTTGGTAGTGAATTGGACTTGTTCATGTACCTGGGCTCGGGTCTTGGGTTCCATGGAGAGGGTAAAATTGGGTAAGTACGGACCATACCGTGTTGGCGACCTTCTCTCCTCATTTTTTTCGACAAGTTGAAGAGAATGAATCTTTTTTTCTCTACAAGGATAAAAAAAGAACGATTTGGAAGATGAAAGAGTGAATTGGTTTTGGAATTGGTAAGGGAACCTATTTATATATATATAGTCTCTGTGTGTGTGTTTTGGAGGTGGAAGAGGTGGGAAAACTTGGGAAGCAAGGTGTTTTAATTAGTCAACTGAGGACATGTTCTTTTCTCTTTTTGGGTGAGTGTCCTCCAAGCCTATGTTAACACAATTTGTCAACAACCCATAGCCACATTGTAAATTATTTGGGGTTCGAAATTCATCTAGAAATATTTTAGATTTGTGTGATAAAAAAAAATCACCAAAAGAAATACCACTCATAACTAAAGAAATATTTTTGTTTTCAAAATTTAAATACGAGATTTTTGGGTAGAATAGAGGTACATAACGTAAGAAATCTTTTATTATTTCAACACACTTCTTAGTGATAACTTATATATGATAATGAAGTATGTGGATAAAAAGTTTGAAATTAATTTAGGGCCCGTTTGGCCATGCGATATGATATCATGATATGAAATCATGATATGGTATCATGATATGGAATCATGAGATGAAATTGAAGGTTTGTTTGGACATGCGATATGAAATTTTTGTGTTGTATATTTTCTCATAAACATAAAAATCTCATAAGTTGTAAAACTATTAAAATAGCCCCAATTGTTTATTCAATCTTATCAAATAAACAAAAATTATAAAATCGCATAATAAATTATTACAAAGTTATTTGTTCTTCAGTTAAATAATTGTTTCATCTAACTTTAATTTAATTAAAAAAAATTGAACATAAATTGTACTTGATATGTTCATATCTCTCAACTACTCTTACAAATAACCTATAAAGTAGAAAAAAAACATACATTAGTGAGTAAATATTAACTTAGAAGTTAAATGCACTAAGATAAAAATTAACAAACATCACTAACTTCTAACTATTTACAAGAAAAATCAATAGTTAAATATTATTGAACAATGAAATTTTAAAAAGTTACCACAAGTTTGAGTCAAAAACACTTCTAATAAAATTTAATCAAAAAAATTATAACTAGTCCACTTGACTAAATATTAATAACTAATTGATCAAATTTTCCTAAGTCCTCAATCAATTGGACTTGATATCCTTTAGTCATGTGAACGAACATTTTGCAAATACTAAGATTAAGAAAGTGCGGCACCGCCAAGACGTTTTTTTTTATTATGAAAAATCAAAAAAGTATTACTCCCTTTGTTCTCATTTATATTCACCAAATGAATTTCTACTTTATCATTTATATTCACCAAATTTAAAGTGATAATAAATTTTATATTGGTGAGAATAATAAATTTTAAAAAGTAATGATGTGATTATAAATTTTATTTACATATGAAACAAATGGTTAGTAGATATAAATGTGGGGTTGTTTTAACAAAATATAAACTCATGGATCAATTATTGTATTAAAATATCTCAAATCATGATATGAAATCACATGGTGATTCCATATCATGGTTTTTGGAGAATATGATATCACCTCTCATGATATGGAATCACGAGATGAAATCAGCGTAAAATCGCATGTCCAAACGCTGATTTCATCTCACGACATCATATCGTGATATGATATCGCATGGCCAAACGCCTACTTAGAGAGAATAGTGAGCACCAACTACTTTTTGTAACAATATATGTTGACTTAGTGGGCATATTTTACTTTAATTTTGAACTTTATGTAGAGGTAAGTTCAAAACTTAAAATTGAAAACTCAAAATACATTCATAATTAAGTTTGGCTACAAAGATTATATTTCTGACTTTTCATCAATCGGTCATTTTCATTTCTCTCATAACATGGATTTTCATATAATCAATAAATTATATTAAATATGTACTCTCATAATATTATCTATCTATTGAAAAATAAATAATTTTAATTATTCAATGTTCTAATTTGGAGATGACATCTTAAACATTGAAATATGCACTAAAACAATCCTTAAAATCGATCCATATATACTTGTTCATCTTTCAGGTTTGCAAGGAACGATTGTTGAATTCACAAGGAAGAAGAGAGTTTGGAATGTTAGATTCACCTTTCATCCTCTTATTTTTCGCCCGCCGACTGCCCTTTTGCTATCCATGCAAGTCCAAATGAATTAATCAAGCAGAAACCATCAAAATTGAATTTCCTTTTTCCTTTCTCCATGTTTTAGATTATGCCTATAGCTAAAGTATTTGACCCATCCACCAAGCTGATATTATCTCATCTATATATAGTTAATGAAGTTCGTAATCATTTTTTCCTTAAAAGTAAAATACTTTCTAGAAACGTGATAGGAAATTATTCAAAACAAGTTAATGACATCTCAAAAGAAAGGTTTCGTCATCAAATTAGCAGACAAGATAAAGTTTATATTTTCTCCAATATCCCAAAGTATTCTATAAGTTCGATTTATCATGAAGCTATGTTAAGACTAATATTACTATCAATAACCAACATCCAGAAATCAAATACGCAAACAAACATGACAATCAACTGTTGTCTGCTTCAACAATTCACTTCTCACTCGTTTGTATAAGAAATAAATGTATTCAAATTTGAAGTGAGTTACTTATATTGTCACATATAGGAAATTATACTCTATAATACATACAATTATATGTTAATACAGGTTAAGTTATAACAAGGTGTGAATAGAAAATTGAAAAATGTGGGGAGCCAAGTGGAGGAAAAATGAAGTCATTTCTCTTGGTAGAAGAAAGAAAAAGTTATCTTTATATTAGGAAACATTTTCTTTAACTCTTAAAGGGTTAAGTAAAAGATACTCATTCTCGCCGTTTTCTTTCATATTTTATTGTTTATCTTTAGTTTCATAACAAACATCTATTCAACATATTTATTTATCTCGAAAAGATTCTTTGAAGTTAATAAAATGTTAGTTATTTTTTATTGTACAATATGTTGGATTTTGTTGTCAAAATTGTTATTGATAGATATGAAAATTTAACTAATTTATTTTCAAAGTTCATAAATATTAGGTAAAGTTCTAATATCACAAACTTTGAAAAATTTAACTAAAACTTTAATAATATATAGATTTTTCTATTATCTAGTGTTACAGCTGTTGACACCCAATTTTAGGCGTTCACAATGTATATTAATCATCGAGCCTCTTCAATTACAAACGATTTGCAGTAATTAATTTTATAAAATTTAAAATATTTCCCAGTTCATTTTTAAAGTGATTTTGTCATTTTTAATAACTTTAATAATTTTAATAATAAACATGTATATATTTTAATTATTATGTATATAATTATTTCATTTTATGAATATTCGAAAATCATCTCAAAAGATTTTATTTTAGTTAAATATTTTATTTAATTAGTTTAGTCTAAATTATGGTTTTAATTTTAAATTAATTAGTTTGTAATTAAATTAATTATTATATTTCGTTAAGATTAAGAAGCTGGTTGATTAATTATATTAATTCGTCTTACTTATTTATTAGTCGAGTTTGCTAAGTAAATTCAATTGGGTTATGTTTACAATTCAATGAACCAATTGCAATTCACTTGGCCCATTTTCAATTATTCCTCTAGCCCGTTTCCAGCAAGCAGACCCAGTCCATCCCAAAACAAGAAACCCAACCCAATTCTCCTAAACTAATCCATACAACAGCAACAGCAAATACCCAACGGTCGACCCAACAAACAATAGCCATACCCGACGACCCCTATACTCGTCTTTATCACGCGACCAGGACGAAACCCAGACGTATCAGTCCGGCAAATCCGGAAAAAGCTGCGACTCTGACCCGTCACATCGGCAGCAGCTCCAAACGGCGCAACGGTACATTCGTACACCTGTAGCAATCACTTCGCCGTCCCCTTTTTCCTCTTTTCAGGGATTTCCCATCCCCTGCAGCTCAAATTCGAATTCATCCCAAATCTATCCGTTTCCACCCTTAAAATCTGCCCTTTCACCCCCTCTATAAAGAGCCTCCTTAGTTTTCACTACAAAGGGTAGAAATTGAGAGAGAAAAATTCAAAAATTAAAAAGAAGAAATACACTTTCTTTTTTGTTTTTCACTGACTGCTAAAAAGCTTGTCGGAGTCTCATTGTGATGGTGGGATCGTCTCCAGTAGCTCGAGTTCAAGTTCGCTGCCCTGGAAAAGGTAATTCCTCTTTCATGTTCTCTAAAGATGTAGCCTTTATGGATGGTACCTTTCAAGTATATTAAGCTATTGTTATTTCTCTCGTTTCCCGCGCTGCTTTCATCGGTGTAAAGTTTGAAATTGTTGATTGATTTTCTATTCTTGTTCTCACTCTGCTTACATATTAATCGATAGTAGTGAATCTGTCGAAGTCCTTTTTCTCCCTTAAATCTCTTATCTCTTGTTAAGTCTCTGTGGTGATTTGTTGTAGTGTAAATCGATATGTCTTGTTAAGTCTGATGGTTTTAATCACAGTTTGAATCCGATGTTGTTTGTTTATTAATCAAATCGTTAGTATGTGAACCCTCTCCCTTAATCCCTTGTAGTATTCAAGCTTTCATTTCTTAGTTTATTAGTTTTTTTTCAAGCTTGCTACTTCAAACATAGATTATTATCTTGTGTCACTATTTAAAAGCCGAATGTGTTGAATTATTAATAATCTGTCTAGCTATCAGTGTTTATCATGAGTAGTGGTTATATTTTTCTTATATAGTAGCTTGAACGTAACTGAGTTTTACTACTTTAGCATGATATAAGCCACTAAATATTTGTTGATTCATATTACTTTCCTTGGATTTTCGCTGATGGTTGGTTATTGTAAATAAGAAATTTTAGATCATGATTCATTAGCTTATCTGTCGTACATATAATTCATCTGCAAATATTCAAATGCTTATCCTATTTAAAGTTGATCTCTATCCATTAGTTCATAGTACTATTTCCAATGAAATCCTTGAGTGTGTATTTTGGTTGTTTGTGCTAGTAGTTGT